AAATATCTTTTGCTCTGATATTTCTGACATTTAACTTGAACTAGACATACATTTCAGTTATTCACTACCTCCATAATTTTTAATAATTTTGCCTTCCGTTATCCACGTTGAAGACTTGCCTTCCTTCATACTATGTGCAAGTTCCTCAACTGCTACCAACTCATACTTCTTGCTGGTGCCCCTCATTTCTTCCTCAGAAGTCCAAGGAAGATGTTTTTCTCAGTTTAATCCTTTTTTCCCCCCATCTTTTTGACCGTGGCCAACTGCCTTTTGATAAGATGTTGCTAGTGAGGTGGCTTTAGTGTCTGCCCAGCCCCAGGTTGTGCTGGAGGCACGCACCCCACCACCCTGGAGACAATAAGGTCAACCCCTGAACTAGAGATAACACGTATTCATCACGGAAATAAAGTCCTTTAGAGAACAAATCAACTTAGTGATAATCTTTACTTTTTATAGGCCTACGCTATTTATTGCATTGTCATTTAACTAACACAAATACTAAAAATACTAGTGTTCTGCATTTAATTAAAACCTTGAATAAATATAACATAAATTGTGTTAATTACTTGTATGGCCATTCAAAGTATCTTCCTGGTTAGCAAAAGGAAGTATCAGATTTACCACAAAGACAACATTTATTTCCGCACTACCTGCTTTAATGGTTACCGCTCAGGAAAGATCAGAGTTTTCCTTAGCATAGTAACAAAACTAAAAACAAGATCAAAATGGAGGCTTTGCCTACACACTTAATGGAAAATCACAAGTAAATTAAAGAGATTAAAAAAATAGTCACTGGATACAGACTCCAGTGATTCAGAGCAAGTATTTCATTGACCATTGGGGTCCCCCACCCCAAATTCCCATCCCTAACACAACACCCGACCTGTGTGTTTGAACCCGAGAGACAGGCGCTCTATGGGGGGCAGTTTTGTCCCCATCAGGTGAGCAGCGTGGTTATCAGACACTGCCAGCCTTAATTACTTGAATATTGACTTTTTTTGTGTTAAAAATTCTGCACTTTTATCATCACTTGGCATGCATTTTCCTTCATATCTCATCAGAATTTGAGACTTGGGGAAAATAAAGCCAATGCTTATTATGGCCAGGACCTGGCTGCCTGACCCCTAAGCCCCTGTGCCTACCAGCTGCAGCAACCCCTCTTTGGGGAGCTCTCAGGGGAGGGGGCATACAGACATTAAGGAAAAGCTCTGCTTCTTGAGCTAGGTTTTGGCAGGGGGGATGTTTGGTGGCTTTTTTGTTTGTTTTAGTTTGTTTGGTTTTTTTTTAGCTGGTCAGCAAACTGACTGCTTTTCTCTCAGCAGTGGGTCCCCATTTGGGTTTTCTCCTTTCCTGCAGGAACTTCCCTGAGGATAAGTCACCTATTAAACTCTGCTGGGGAAAAAAAAAAAAAAAAAAAAAAAAAAAAAAAAAAAAAAGACATCTCCAGCAGGAGACCAGCACTGGGTTGTAGCCAACAAACCTTGTTCACCCTGCATGCATTGGAGAGGTTGAGTACCCGCAGAGTGAATCCAGGCTTGCTGTTTTGGGTGGGTTTTATTCTGAGTCTGATCCAACTGTGCACCCATCATCATTGCTTCCAAAGGCGGTGGGAAGCACCTGTAAAGCGAGGGGAGCAGCCACCGCTGTCAGCAGCACCCATCTGCACGCCACTGAGACAGAGGAGCTGGGTGTTTCACACAAGGAGAAAACGTTATTGTCCTAATTAATCCTATTTCCTACCTGCCTCCTGCTATATGCTTTAGGAGCAGGACTTGAACCGACTGCTTCAGGTTTGCTTACACAGCAGTGGGGAAGGGCAGACGCCTTTTGCTCGGGAAAGCTGAGTGCAGGCGTTACCTTCTCCAGCCGTGCCCGGTACCAGCCACTGCCAGGCGGTTTGAGCAAGGGTGCATTTGCCCCAGCTGGCTCTGGCAGCATTCGGCGTCAGGGACAGGCACGTACCAAGTAACGCAAACATAGCGCTGCAACAAGTGGGTCAAACACGTGCATGCAAAACCTTGACAGTGTTATTTTGGAAAAAAAACCCAACCCTTTTTCCTGATGAGAGACCTGATGATGCTGAGTAGAGCCACGGGAGAGTGCCACACCAGGGAGCCGACTGCAGAGACAGGGCCAGCCAGAACCACAGAGCCCCTGCGAGGTACCCAGGGAGGGAAGGCAGGGGTGATGGATGGTCTGAGGGCTGGGGTACACAGGGCCATTAGGCAGCACAGGAGCAAGGAAACACATCACATGCTGCCAAGGCAGCAGGGGGAAACACTGTGTGTTTAGGAGTTGGCTTGGAACAAGGTAGCAGTGAACATATGTGGCTGCTGGAGATTACAAGGCAGACACAACTGGGGAGCATATGGGCCATTGCTCTTGGGCAGGGGGACTGGGGGCAAGACCACAGTCAAAGACATACAGTTTTCCAGCTGTGTCAGTTCATTGGGATAAATAAAGTGATAATGGGCACTAAATAATACATGAACTATAGCAGCAAGCACTACAGAAGATTTAAAAAACAAAATAAAGGTATGATACTTTAGATTCTCTGAAAACTTTCCCCTGCTCTGCCCCAACCCCCCCCAGCAGCCTCCCAGCCCAGAGCAGCATTCCCCATGTGCTTACCAGCACGCACCGCTAGCTTCACCCTTTCCTTCCTGGGATCCTTCTTTCCCCAGTTCCAGGGAGCTGGAGGAGCAAGCTGCCTTCTCCCCTCTTCTCCCAACTGGGCACATAAGAGAAGGGGTGGGATGCAGGGAGGCACCTTATAGCTGACAGGAAGGGAGCACGGCTGGTTGCAATTGCTAGGGGATTATTCCTCCTCCTCCTCCTCCTCTTCCTCCTGGCATTGCCTGCTGGAGGGGAGGGAAAGGGAGAAACCTCCAAGCTGCCCAGGCAGCCTCACCTGGCTGCTCTCCTTTGGGGCTGGCGTTAGGGAAGGTGCCCAAGCAAAGCATCTCCCTAACTCCAGCACCTCATTACGTCTGTCTTCCCTGCAGGTCCCACGCTCGCTCGCTCCTTTCTCCTTTTTCCCTTTCATTGCCAACCCTTCAAGCTGAGCCTTTTGCCAGTCCTTGCCTCCCCAAGGGCAGCTATGCCACTTTTCCAGGACCTGCCATTTCATCCTCACACCTCTTTTCTATCCCTGCTTACCCGCTTCCTCCAGAGTGGAGGTTGTGTGGGGTTCTGCTTCCCTTGATAGACATTTCCACTGTCCATCAATATAATTAGGCTCCAAAGCATTCCTCGAGAGTTTTGAATTGAATCAATGCACCATTTGCCATGGATCTTCTCTGACGTTAGTATTTTCCCATGCACGAGGCACTGAAGAACAAGAGGCGGGTGGGTGACACGGAGACACCCCGTGGTCACAACGAACGCCGCTGCCTCACCAGCTGCTCCCGGCTGCAGCGCTGCCGCCAGAAACCCGGGCAGGAGAGGGAGCGCTTGGAGTTAGGAGGATCGCAGCACAGAGAATTCCAATAACACCAAACCGACCTCACTCCAATACCTTTTTTTTTTTTGGTCAGAAATTGTAGAAACAGAGAAATTAACACTTGTAAGGACCACAAACCATCCCAGTGTGAAACTCCATGTGCACCCGCCCCGGGATAGCTGCCACAAGCAAGGGGCCACAGCAAGGCTGGTGACAAGTGATTTTTCAGGCGTTGCTTTACCAGAGCGAACAGGGAAATTGCTTATAAGCTTTGGTCATTTTCCTTCCACACGGCGTCACGGCTGAACCCCAGCGGGCAGCTGAGCAAGGTCTGCAGGGCAGGCCGGAGCGCTTGCACCGGTGCTGGATGCTTTAAGCACAAAGCAAGTGTTCTGTGATGTACTTGCACTCAAAATGCGGTGGCGTAGCCATCTACTCCAGGCAGCCACAACTGTGAAACAGTAAACTGCAATTCCAGTTCGCATATAGGTAATTATAACTATATATATTTAAAATATGAAGTAGTAGATGGCCTGACAACCCTTTTTTTTGGTTTGTTTAAAGAGCTCTCAAGCATTCCAGAGAGGCATCTTGGACAGTGAAGAAAGAAATTTTCAAGCTAAAGAGGAATTTGTGGCAGCCTTAGCATTTAGATCAGAATGGTCTTGTCAAAACCGGTAAAACTCCAACTCGCTGCTTTTATGTCAGAGGTTGTTCAGGGTTAAGGTGCCCGACGTAAAAAATGAAACAAACAGTATTTTTGAAGCATGTTCGTTAAGTAAAAATAAATAGCTTAATGTTAGAGTTCTAAAAGCAAAATTTAATAAATTAATATATGCATGCCAGATAAAAATACAAAATTACAATTGAAATAGCAATAATAATAAAGGAACACTGCTCAGCATTGCAGGTTTCACTGCAACCACCATAAACATCATGGAGAATTACTTAAAAGTAACATTTAAAGCACACGTTTTGTTTCTGTTAAAAACAAATTACTATATGATGAAAAAACTGAAAGAAACCCAAGAAGAAATCAGCCCCCAAAGCGGCAGAGAATGATATGAAACGTCAATAAACTGCCAGAGGCTCCATTTCACGTGAGTTGGCCTTCTTTTTAGTATCAGAAACCAATTACATAGAACATAAAAGCAAATTCACAACAGGTTTACACGGAGAAACATGCTGAATTACAATCACAAACTATCCAGAACAAAGATGCTGCACCAGTTCAGTTGTTTTATCTTCATGGAATGAGTCTCACCAGAACAGGGAGAACAGGGAGCAAATCATGCAATAGCTTTAGGCTTTTTGTTTTTTATTTTAACATGATAAACACCCAGGATTACTAGTACTGGAAAGTATGTGTTAACCTTTTTCAACATCAGCTGAATGGCACTACAGAAACGACAAAGAGTTCCTTCATTTTTATCCTGAATACATCGAAAGCTCTAGCAAATATGGAATTCAGCGACAAGAGCCATTAAATTACTTTAAAATATTCCTTCATCCATAGAACACTGTTGCTTCCTTTTTTATTACAAAACCCCCAAAATATTCAAAATAAAATGTCTTCATTTTTTATAAGCATCTCCACCACAAGTCTCTGATAACGGATGTCATTCAACGCAGCCATTGCATCCAGTTCTGGCGCTCTCATAAGAGTCGGTCCAAAAACTATGCCCAGATTCTCTGCACTCATCAGATTTTCCTTTTCATGGAGCGTCACTCTGTAAGAAAAGGGACAGCATTTTGTTTTTCGCATTCC